CTGGAAGTTTCTCTTGCAAAAACTGTAAATAGCTATTAGCGTTCAATACATTTTCATAAAAGTGTGGGCCAATTAAATGCATTCCAATAATGCCACACCAAAGATTTATTCCATAATGGCCCTGATTTTGAATGGGATTAACATAGTGTGGATTTTTAGTGGCCCAGTAATGTTCATTTCTTTTATTTCTGTTATGGGCTCGAGACGCGAACTTTGGGACACCCTGTACATAAGACAGAGGAAGGCCTATACCTTGACATTTATCAGATTCAAATTTTGTTTTAATTTTAATGCTTAATACCCTTGGGTTTTTACATGCCGTCATTTGATAATTTATTAGAAAAATAAACAAAATGACAAGAGACGCAATATTACTATTTTTTTTATATTCTTAGTCCATTGTTTTTTGTTAATTTCATATTAAAGTAATACTTTTTCTGGCTCTTGAATTATAAATGATATCTGTTGTAATAACTCAGCCGCTCCCGAATGGACTGATAATGTGCCCCTCCCTGAAGTAGAGCAATTTACAGGGGATTTTGACATATGTACATCTACCACTGTTTATAAGAAAATTGCTACCTCTTTTAATTTTCTTTTAACGACATTATTTCATTTTTTAAAAACATGTATTTTATCATTAGCTGATATTTCTTTATCTTATTTTAAAGATATTAAGCCAACTCAAATAAATTCAATTTTCTTTCTATAAATCGTAACAAAAGAAATTACAAGATTCCTAACTGGTCATATTGCGGGAAACAACTACTACGAGTAGTATAATTTATTTTCCCTTTCCAAAATTTTTGTTAATTCAGACAAATCTAGCAATAGTTGAACTTGTTTTGTGGTCATTAAGTAGTTGTTAGTAACTCATAAATAAATAACTATCAGTTGGACAGGCAGAAGAGGTCCTGTACCATAACTTCAACGGTCACCCGACATTAATCCCCTTGATTATTTTGCCCATGGTCATACTATGAAACAACAGGAATACTCTTCTCCAATAAGTTCAGGGTGTCCCACTTAACTTTCCCACTCCACTTATCTTCGCTTTTTGTTAAGTAATTCACAATTACTGTTTATTGTTATTTTAATTGTCATAAACGTCAAAATAATTATTGGAAATAATCAATAAAATCATGGAAATCTTGATTATGCAATATGCGGGGTTCATTTATACGATTAAATGCAAATATATCAAAAATAAGTGCCACATAATATGTTATATACTTTTGTTCAGGATAAAAGTTTACATCTAAAAATGTAATATTTTTCAGGGAGTTCCATTAAAAAAATAATAAGTTGTATCTGTCATATTGATATTTAAAATTGAATTATTTTTTTGTTGTTACAAACACAAAACTTCATAAAAAACACTTTTGTGTTTTGTTTCAACAAAATCTTTATATCTGTACAAGTATCCGAGATAAGTGGAGTGGGAAAATTAAGTAGGACATCCTATACAAGGGATGAACTAATACAGTGCATTCAGATAACAAATTTATCGTTATAGATGTAATAATAAACATTTTTCAGTTCAATTAAAATTTTGTGTAAGTTTAACCATCGATAGGTCTCGTCAAAATAATGTCATTTTGAAGTATACACCTTTTCTTACAAATACTTTCTTTCAGTGATATAAACTCTTGAAAAAACATTTTTTTTGTTTTTATTTATTTTTTCTTAAACTATGAAAACCATTTATATTTATTATGAAGTGTATTTTACAAAATATTGTGGAAATGGATTATAGGCGTCCGTAAGCGGTTTTGATAACCCCTATAATTTCTACGCCATCGGAAATTTTTCAAAATAAATATATTGTTTTACATTGTAGACTGATCGAATTAACTCATTTAGAGGAAAAAAAAAAGAAAATTGTTTCCTGGACTTTTATAAGTGGAAATGGTAAAGGGGCTTATGATAAACGAAAAAAAAAATAAATGCTTGAGCAGGGACGGCGGAGGGTTGATTTAGGGGGTTGAAAACAACATAACCTCAAAATTTCCGAGAAAAATCCGAAGAACAGGTTTTTTCTGAATTTTCGTTTTTTATTTCTCATTTCCGCAAAAATAATTTAATTTTGACGAAACTTGGTGAAACTATACATTTCTCTATCTTAAATAACCTCAAATTTTTTTAAATAAAAAAATCAAGAAGTTTCTGAGATATTAATTTTTTTCGGCCTGAAACACTTTTTTTTCAAAGAAAAATTCTACTTAAAAAAATCATCGTACAGAATTCTGCCGGTAATAATTTTTTTCGTTTTGACATATACTTTTTGGTGAAATAAAAAAAATTTTAATCACAGCTCAAAAACATGCTCAAAAATGTAAAAAGTAAAAAATGACTTGCAACAATGAATTTTTCAGTTATTGTTGATAATTTGTTTAAATTAAAAAACATTCAAAAACTGATTACACCATTCAATTCTACGAAAAAAAATTTAAAAAAACTGTCTCATTGACCCAAAACTATTTTTATACACTATTGCTATAAACATAAGTCGAATAGTGAATAAATAAAATAAATAATAATTTTTTTTCCGCAGGATCGATTAGTGTACTTATTTTTTTTAAAGTTTGATGAATTCATAGATATACAGTGTGTCCAAGATAAGGATGGGATAGCATTAGGATCTAGGAAACGGTAAAATATACGGGGTGGCTCAGATTAGAAAAAAGTAGTGTTTTTTATACCTAACAATATTCTGTTTAGATTAAAATTCCGGGTAGTTCCGGAAATATCCGGAAAAACCCTAAATTTTGCTAAATTGTTTAATTTTTTTCTGGCTTTATTTGAAAACGAATTTTAAAATAAATTACATATTTACAATGCCACTTTTTCCGCTTTATACAATGGCGTCAACATTTTTGCAATCCGACGTTTCGTCTTTGAGGGGCCATCATCGGATTTATTTTTTTAAATACGTCGCTGCTATTTTTATGACAAAATTTAAAGTCATTTTTAATTCTAAATTAGAGGATATTACTATTGTAAACGCTTAAAAAGTTTTTAGCTTGTTTTATCTATAATTTAAAATTTTTCCTGAGTATGACTGAACGCTTTCAAAATATCTATTTACTACTGTTAGCAATACTAATTAGAAATAATAAAATATTTCATAAATTCGTATTATTTTTTTATTAGGTACCTACTTTTTAAATTATGGATTAAAAAAAATTGTTGGATATTTTGTGCTGTATTGACTTTTATTCCCTCCTCTCTCTATCTCTCACTTTCTCCTCCAATAGATATAGGTATTTTGAAAGCGTTCAGAGCCGTACTCAGGAAAAATTTTTAATGATAGGTAAAAACCTTTTTACAATTATTTACGATTACAATTACGATTACGATTACAATAGTAATATCATTTAATACAAAATTAAAAATGACTAGATTTTGTCATAAAAATAGCAGCGATATATTTAAAAAAAATTATCTGACGATGGCCTGTCGAAGACGAAACGTGGATTCCTAAAATGTTGACGCCATTGGAAATGGCAATGTAAATATGCTATTTATTTAAAATTCGTTTTCAAATAAAGCCAAAAAAAATAAAACGATTTTGCAAAATTTCGAGTTTTCGGATTTCGCGTCAAAGTAGACATTGCAGTTAATACTTTGTATTGCTGAAATCTCAAAACATCCTGAGATAATTTATCATTTGTGCATTTGTAATTCGAATTAGATGTTTATAGCAATAGTGTACAAAAATAAAGTTTTGGGTCAAACAATGAAACACAGTTTTTTTTTTCGTAGAATTGAATAGTGTAATCAGTTTTTGAATGTTTTTTAATTTAAATAAATTATCAACAATAACTGTAAAATTCATTGTTGCAAGTAATTTTTTATTTTTTTTGCATTTATGAGCATGTTTTTGAAATGTTTTTTGAAAATTACAGATTTTTTTATTTCACCAAATAGTATATGTCAAAACAAAGAAAATGATTACCGGCAAAATTCTGTACGATGATTTTTTTAAGTAGAATTTTTCTTTGAAAAAAAGTGTTTCAGGCCGAAAAAAATAAATATCTCAGAAATTTCTTGATTTTTTTATCTAAAAAAAATGGAGGTTATTTAAGACAGAGAAAGCTATACTTTCACCAAGTTTCGTCAAAATTAAATTATTTTTGCGGAAATGAGAAATAAAAAAAGAAAAATCAGGAAAAAAACCTGTTTTTCGTATTTTTCTCGGAAATTTTGAGGTTATGTTAAAAAGTGACCTCTACAAAAGCTGTAGATTTTTGCATGATCTACAACTTTTGCATTGGATACTTTTTTGTTTGACCTCAACTTTCGTCTGAAATCCCAATGATACAATTTTTCATAACTTTTCAACCTCCCAAATCAACCCTCCTCTGCCCCTGCTCACGCATTTATTTTTTTAGATTTATTATAAGCCCTTTTACCATTCCCACTTATAAAAGTCCAGGTAACAATTTTTTTTTCTCCAAGTGTAATTTGGTTGGACTAAAAGGAAGCCTTTGGAAGAAAAAGTATATGCTTCAAAATGACATTATTTTGACGAGATTGTTAATCTAATCTAGTCATAAAAAGTGAATCACCCTGTATAAAAAAAGTGGCACTGACTACCCGTCTACCACGTCACTGGTGGTGGTACTGAGTCGCTTGTATATAATTTTTAAACCTCGACACAAGACATGCCCAATTTGGTTTCGTTAGTACTTGCTGTTTTTTTAAATATCACGAAAAAGGTTAGAAAAAATTAAACTCAACACCCTGTATCTCAGTTAGAAAGCGATGGACAACCAATGTTCACAAGAACTTTTTTGTTTAAAATGAAGTCTTCTCAACTGTTAAGAGTTAGTACATTTTAAACAGCGTTTTCGACTTGCTTGCACTTTTGCGCTCGGACCAACTCTAATAATAAAGGGCGGTAAATATTCTCAAATAAGTCAAAAACGCTACAACAGTGAGCATGTAGAAGTGAAACCAGATCTGGCAAGAATATAGGTTATGTTTATATGACTCACCGTTTGTCAGACTGACATCCGACATCTTCTTCACCATCTCAGTCACCTTCCTGCCATCCAAGGACCCATCTACCGATTCCCTGGACCTCCTTTTCAGCGTATCCTCCCTCTCCAGAGCGTCACTGACAATTCCGCTGTCATTGTACATATCCTGACTGATAATCTCCACATTGTCCGTGACGAAACACTCGCAGGGGTTACTGTCCAAACTGATTTGGCTGGTTCTAGACACGCCGAGTTTGCTCAACTTCTTACACTTCTCTTCCTCGTGCCTGGCCCGGTATTCGTTCAGCTTGAAACTATTCAACGTCAAATTGTGCAGGAAGGTCTCGTGAGTAGAATTCGGAACTTCCACGTCCAGATTTACGTTTTCCTCGCTGATGTGGGGCTCGGTAACAGCGGTGGTGAAGCCTACAGGTGTCAAGGGATCCGTGAAGTTTGAATCGGAGCTCGACGGGGAGGTAGCGACTTTTTTCTTGTCGTTGCTTAGGTTGTTTACTTTGCACCATGAATCGGTCACTATGACGTTGTCTTTTTCCTTGTCCGTTTTTTCGTGCCGATTGGGAGTTTTTGTTTCCGGTTGTTTTTCGAGTTTCGAATCGGACACATGCTCTTCGAATTCCGCTTCGTCAGGTACTACACCTGCGAAGAGCAATTCGTCGGATTTACCTTTTTTTCCTCGTAGTTTTATTTTCGTTTTCGGCTTCCCGGGTGATTTGCCCTTCACCGGTTTCGATTCACTGGTCTGCAGGTTTCCCATAGTTGAAAAACTATAACCTTGTCACTTCAACAACAACTATAGACTATTAACAACATTAAATAGCGTTTACACATTATTTAAACTTGTAGTTAACGTTTGAATGTATTGTAAGCACTGCGGCACTTGATTATTTCCATTGGGAAGCCGTGTGGGTAGTGTTTATCGTGTGACAGTGACCAAGTCAACTGATTCTGTCTGCTTTGTTGAAATCCGTACCGACAAACTTTTTATATGTAATGCCCGGCTGATTTTTTAATGTAATTCAGTCACTTGCTTTGTAAATATCACATTTTTACAAATTGCGGATAACACACGTCCAGCCTAACACTGGCACGGTTCTGCGCAGACTCCCGCTAAGGATCGATTATCCTGCCGCTGCTTTTGGCAGACGCTCAGGCCGAATTGACAGGAATAATATATCGACGGTGGATTTATGTTTTTACTTGTTTTGGTGTGGTGTTTCTTACGGAGTTCTTTTCGTGAACAGTGGCGTTTTTGGTAATCTTCATCGGGGATAAATTCAAATTCGCTCTCAGGCATATTGTGTACTTGTCAGTTGAGGATGTAAAGAGGTGTCTGTGGGTGTAATGTCAAAAATAATAGTGGCGATGTCAGCAATAAAATGTGACATATTCGGTCTAGATCACAACTAGAATAAATGTACAATTTATTATTATTCCCATATAAGAAAATAAAACTGTATTTTTTTGCCTTACAAAATAAACTGATGCAAACAATTAAAAGGTCAAAAGAATTTCCGAAAATTTTCTGTGATTTTTGACAGGCTGCGTTTAGGTGAAAAATTGACGTATCGCGGATTAAAAAAAAAGCATTTTGAAGCTTCAAGATTCTAGTTTTTAGATCTTTAGGTCGAAATTTTTTAGGAGCTACGGTTATCAGGCAATTCTAAAAAATAGCGTGACAAAAAATGCAAATGCAATTTTTTTTTTCTGAGTCCAAGGACTTTTTTCAGCTAAGCCATTGCATGGACCAGATAGCTTGTTTATTCAGCTTCATTTTCCTTTTTTTTTTTAATTTCGATACGACCATTTTTTATCGAAATATCGGACTTTTACTGGAAAGGGATCCTTTTGTCTTCAACCATCGATATCTTGGCGACAAATGGTCGTACAGAGAATTGCAGGGCAGTTTCGAAAATTGGAATAAATTTCCCATAACATGCTGCCGCGACTTTTTGGAATTTTTTTTCATCTTTTACACGAATTTAAAAAAAACAGGAAAAAAGGGTAATTTATGTTTTTTTTTTAGAAAAGTGACGGCTAAATTAGAAATATTCACGAAATAACTAATGCTAAGCATGTCTTTTACAGTTCGATATACCCAGAAGAACCCTGTGAAGTTTCATCTCGATCTAGCGAACCGTTTCTTTGTTTCAAACAGTCAACATTTGAAAAAAATTAAAGGGCTACGTTTTTTGAGCTTAAACGCTTCATAATCATGATTAAAATGAAAAAAAAATATTTTTTTTGAGGTTTTCTCACAAATAACGGTTAAATTAATAAAAAAAAATTGAAATTTTTTTTCCGAGAAGAAAAAGGGTATCTTTGAAAAAAACTGTTTTTAAGTGACTAATTTTAATTTAATTAAAAGTTGATGAACAGAAGCATAGGACGAAAAAGCCTAATAGTGCTGAAATCAGTTGGATTTTATTTTCTTCAATGTTCGGAAGGTTTTTCAAAAAAACAAAAAAAACGAAAATTTTTTGAAATTTTTCTCCTAAATCACGAAAAAATTTCGGAAATTCTTTTGACGCTTTAATTTTTTGCATTAGTGGAAATAATATTTAACTAATAAATTCGTGCATAAAGTAGTGTTTTTGCTAATCAAAATTGTAGGAAAATGCAGTTTTATTTTCAGTATTGTGAACTAAGAAAAATTATATTTAAGTTTAACTAAATTGCCTTACAAGAAGTTAAATTTATTATTGAGTGTTTTTTAAATAATAAGAAGATTGAAGCTATTTTATTCGAATTTGAAGTGTGTAAATACTTTAGGTTTATTAAAAATAACAAATTTTTCAAACGGAAAAGTAGTATCTTATTAAAGAGATAGTATGAAGACAAAAAAGGTGTTGAAGGTTGAAGAAGGCAAATAAAAAGGGGCACTAAATGGGAGAAAAAAAAAATTAAAAAATGAAAACAAAGAAACAGACGAAAATCCTAAGCAAACATGCTGTGGACTTTAGATAATTTATATAAAATTCAATTTAGAAAATTATAGATCTTCCGAAAGGTACACTAATTTACTTTTTATTCCTGTCTCAAATAACTGGCACATATATTTAAACCTAACCTAACTTATCGAAAATAACAAATATTATTTCATTTTTAGTCCTCACTTAAAAGTGTTTCTGAATATTGAAAGTTTAACATGAAAAAAAAGTTCGTAGGATATCTACGAACGATTGCCCTAAAATTTCCTTTGTAGCTTTAGATTTTTTATTTTCCACAAGCGTATGTAGTTGTCACAATTTTTTTATTTACAGAGGCAAAATTTCGGAAATGAACTTTCATTTTCGCTTGCAATGTTTCTTTCTTCCAAAATATTCCACACTAGAATCATTATTTCAATAGGTTCCTAGTTAGTTGTTTTTGGTCACGACAGCTATCCATGAATAAAATAAATTATTTATGTGATTTTCCTCGACTGTTTGAAACTTGAAATAAACCGTATTTTCTCATTATTTTTGCACACCTTGTAGTGCCTGCATGAAGCCAGACGTATGTTTATAGAAACCTATACACCCTGTATAACTTTTAATTACGTTATAACGACTTTATAACAACCAGGATGACAAGTTTTTGATCCAATTTTTATAATCAGAATACATTTTCGCATTCTCCTTCCTTCCCTCCTACCCACGCCACTGATATCACCATTGGAAATAATCAACATTATTCGTTGATAAGTTCATGAGGTCAGCCAGCTATCGAATCGATGTTTTTTCTTTTTTACTATGTTTAACGCAAAATATTCGTTACGCAAATGCTAATAGCGTTCTGCTAATTTAATATGCGGGCATTAATTTTGTAAACGTGTCAAGGTAATTGAGTCAAAGTTTGAAATGTCAATGGATGGGTATATTTGAGCTAATTGAATTGACATTATGCATTGCACTAAAACTAGAGTACTTCCAGTTTGCAGGTTTGATTTCTAAAACTCGTGTGTGTTAATGTCGAAATTAAAGTTTTTTTTGCTAAATTTCAATTGCTTAGTTTGTCTTGAAAACTTTAACAGTAGGATGGACTATTAGTTACGTCATACTGATTTGAGGAAGGAAATTTTTAGTCCAGTAACTTTAATCACTGTGATTACGAAATATATTTAGAATCTTACAACTTAAAAAATATTATTTTCATATTTAGAACGCTATTAATAGCACTGATTGAACTATTTTTTTTATCACATAGTTTTTATCTTGTAGTTTATAAAATAATATTGAATCATCGTTGACCCTTGTAATGACATTTAGTTCATATTTATTTCCACTGATTTGTCGATGTTGTTAACAGTACGCAAACTTTTAACATAGACATATATAGTTATGACCTAAATAACACATGTCATGTTAACGAGTACATACATACATATAATATTCTATTTTTAGTTGATTGTGTTTTTTTTTCCATTGTTTTTCACTTCCTTCCGTCGTTTACCAATAATTCTAATTAAACCAATTATACCTAGCTATTACAGTTACATTAATATGTACAGTTTAATTGTATTCTATATACAAAGTGCCTTCCAAAGTAAACTAGATTTTCAAAAATAGGTATTCCTAATGAGGCCATCTATTGGCAATTACAGGGGTAGGTAGATCCTTTACTGATGTACTGTCAAAATTTCATGACATTTGGACGTGTGGAAGCGGAGCTATAGCGTCTGAAGTGACAGTGTTTTCATGTCATCGGTACAAAAATAAGCATCAGACCTAAGTTTTGTTTTAAACTTGGTAAAACTTTTACCGAAACGTTTCAGTTGATGATAATTTATTCCGTGGCAGAGTTCCTGAGTGGTAAACGCTGTTAAAAAACGGTTGTGAGGAGATAAATATGACAAAAGATGAGCCAACTGAAATCCGTGATCATAGCAGATTCCATAAAAATTATGCTTGAATTATCAAAGATCCGTACGTCGCTCACGAAGAGTATAATCCAGGTGTTGGACACTTAATTTGGAAGAGTAAGAAAACACCAAAACTTCGAGAAAGTTTTTAATAACAATAAAAACAAAACGAACAAACAAAATAATGAAGACACAACGAATTCGAACAAACATTAGTAATTAATTTACACGCGATAACGCAGGGACCCAACAGAATTCATAGCAAAATTTGGGAAGACTTTATCCATTATTAAATTAACCTGAGACTCTAAAATTAAGAAAGCTGCCCAGTGTGGAACCCAAGGAGAAAACTGCCTTTTTTCGGAGATCTCCCTTGAATTCAACATCTCGCTTCGACACGCCCATTTCTTGGGTACAGAAATTTCGGTTCTTATCTTATTGGCGGGCTCCTTGAATATCGGGAGTTGAAATAGCTTAACTATACCATGTTAATATCTAATTGATTGTATGGGTAATTTTGTGACTAAACTGAACTTACAAGTAACGTTACACGGGGCGGATTAGTCAATCTCATTTAACCTATTCTTATAGCTTGGAAAATCCGCCTAAAAACCAGCTATTTGATCTATTATTATTTTCCTCACAACATTCTAACAACTTATTTAAATATTTTGGAATACCTGCGTCTTTTTGAATGTATTTGGCGCGTTATTAGAAATACATATTTTTTCCCTTCACCATGGGCTAAACCGATGCAGTTAGTCGATACCAGATGCCCAACACATGGCCCCGACGATCTACGTCTACTTGTTTATGAGGCCTTCTTCTTCATTATTACTCCCGGTGATAAGAAGCACTAGTTTCTCAACGGCTTTATGTCGACGCTGAACCTACTTGAAAACCCTTAACTTTTCAATAATTATTGTTGACTGAGTTGACCCATGCGTTCCGAGAACTAACAAATAATCTATCACGAGTCCCGGCTTTTGTTACAGAATTCAACATTGGAAGGACATCATCAGAGGCCAAAAAAGGACAAAAAACTTCCTTTACAACATTGTGACTGGTGATGAAACGTGGTGTTTTCAATATGATCCAGAAAACAATCGCCAAAGTGCCTAGTGGAAGGCGCCAGACGAACCAAAACCCAAAAAATCTTTTGGAGAAGTTGAAAGTGAAGACAATGGTGATTTGCTTTTACGATTCCAAGGGCGTTGTCCACAGTTTGTTCCACCTGGCCAAACCGTTTATTTTTTTACTATAAATCGCGTTTTAACTGTCAACCGCTCCCCGTATTTGCCTGTCAAATGTCAGTTGGCATTGTTTCATAAGACATACTAAAGCATTGCTATGTTGTGTCTACTGGCAGAGAGCAACCTACTAACCCGTAGGTACCATGCAGGCACCGAACTAGGCGAAACAAACTCTTTAATTAATGATTTTGTCAGAAGCAACTATTCTGAGCGTTTACATATCCTTTCCAACATTGGATTTCACTCACGATATTATTAATTCCATGTCTGGTGATTATGTTGACGAATGATCTTAGCTGCTTCATAGATTGTGGTGTAATTGAATGCTGGATAGGGCATGTAGGCCACATAGTAGTTAGTTCCCACAGCATCATCAGTTAAAATAATAATATTTACACTTCACAATCAGAACAACTTTATACGAAATTTAAATTTAAATAAATTTAGTTATGTGACATCAATGCGATACAAATTCGTTACGATGAACGCCATTTGCAAAAGGAATCATTTCCTTTTAAAAAAAAAAGTGTAATGAGAAAGTCGTGTTTTGTAAACGTTCCTATTGTGTTTAATTATATGAATGAGGTGACTCGTCTTGTTTGGTTGGTGGTATTTGTACAAAATTATCAGTTATTTCTTATCTCTGATTTATTTCCATACTAATTATAGTAATCGTTATAGTACAAACATACATTTTAACTCAAGGTTTAAAATAAAAATGAATTAACTGTGACATTTTTAACATGATGTTCATACTTTTATCTTTTAACCTAATCTTAAAAAAAAATTGAAAGTATACTAAAATAACGAAGCAGTTGTTATATATTTATAAGCAGACATGTTTCACTTAACTTTATTATTGCATTTTGAATATTTTTCTGTATTTGGAATTACCTTATTCAAATTAAAATTTTTAACAAAGTCAGTTTTGGGGCAGGAATATTACTACGCCCTTGCACATATTATTAACGCGTGTGATGACACGTGTCTACGTTTTGCAGAAATGTCTATTAGGTACATTATTTTAAATGAAAACGTGTCTGCACAATGGGGGTTTACGTAAATTAACTCGTAGTGGTTTAAATGTAGTATTCTCTTTGTATAAGGTAAAAGTAACGAGGATAGAAAAGGACCTGACCACCTGGAGTGATTTTTTCTTACTCCCGATTATTCCGTGGCGTTAGAAGCCGATAAATTCATTTTTTATTTATTACATTATTCATTCAGCGAGAAGGAAATCCAATTTTAGAAAATTTGCTGATTTAAAAAGCACTTTTTTTGATGACGTACATAGAACTGTAATAAGAAGACCAAATCAGAGGTATACTCTAACTTGGGTCTAATAAAACAAATATAAGATACATAGAATAGAAATATTCTTGAACTCTTATGGCTTTTCGGAACATTTAAAATTAATCCGTTATTTTTGCATTGTATGCCTAGAAAGACCATACCGTTCGGAAGTTTTTCAAAGTTGGATAAGAGATATATCGAACCCTGATGCATACCTGAAATTTGATTAAATGTATTAGATTTGCTATCAAGGTATAGTACAAATAGAACGCGATGAAAAATACAGACCAATCTTTGTACAGTATATTTCGCGGTTTATTTCATTTAAAACCTTGGAAAAAGTTTCTGCAGTAATTTTTCAAACTAGACTTTTTGTGTAAAAAGAAATGTTCGCAAATGATTAGTTTAGAAAAATTACGGGAAATAGTAATAAGTCTGTAATTTTCAACATCACGTTTGCTCCTCTTTGTAAAAGCAGGACACACACAGGGCTGCTTCCATAAATCGGGAAAGATACTGAAAAATGGGGTCTTTGCAAATTTATTACTCCCGGTGACAAGAGGCACCAGTATCTCAACGACTTTATGGCGACGCTAAACCTACTAGAAAACCCTTAACTTTGCAATGATTATTTTTGATTGAGTTGACCCATGCGTTCCGAAAACTCACGAGTCCCGGTTTTTGTTACAGAATTCAACATTGGAAGGACATCATCAAGAAGGCCAAAAAGGACAAAATTTTCTTTCACAACATTGTGACTGTCTGTAATTTTCAACATCACGTTTGTTCCCCTTTGTAAAAAACAGGACACACACAGGGCTGCTTCCATAAATCAGGAAAGATACTGAAAAATGGGGTCTTTCTTTGAAAATCCTGGATATGATTTCGAAATTAAATTGCAGAATCTTATAACAAATGCTTTATCTGGTATAATAACATAATATGTAAGTACAGCGGTTCCAGATAGCCGTCAGAGTGTTGAGGCATCAGCCTATGTTTTTATTGAAAATACTTACCCAACAAGTTGAAACTAGTTTAAAACATCAGTATTAACGCATCTGACACGTCGAGCTGCGATGTGATGAATCCTAAGAATACAATTTCTTGAAGCAAATGAAATTAAAATAAAATTCCTATTTACAAATTCTTAAATAGACATTTATTTACAAAAAATTAAAAATACAAATGAAAAGTGCGTAATGTTTATTTACAAAGTTAAAAACCACTGTATATTTATCCTTAATGCCTAATCTTACATTTACAAAATAATAGTCTTTTGTATTTTTATTTACAAAAAAATATACAATTTAAAAAATTTAAATAAATAAAATATTTAAAAAATATTTGCCTATTTTGCGCTTCATTGATAAAAATATGCTTTAAGTACTTCATTTTTCTGGTTTTTAAGAAATTTTCAAAATTCCTAACAATGTACTTCGAAAAAAAAATAAAATAACATTGATATTTTAAAATACGTTGTTAGGATTTCTCCATAATTTCTAAAAAACCAAAACATTAAAAAAAAGTCAATTTGTGTATTCTAGATTTCTTAACTAACCAAAAGTTGTTTACTATATCAAGTGTTCCTAGAATGATAGAAAGCACTAAAAACAAATCAGATTTCTTTGTAAATAAGATAAGAAAAAACCCAGAATACACAATTTTTAGATATCCCAGTCAAAGAATAAACGAAAATATACAATTTATGTAGGCCAGGATTGTTTTAGTTTTGGTAAAAATATAATTATAACTGCAATTTAAATAACAAAAAACGAAGAACAAAAAAAATTGGAATTTACATCTTGAGAGCGAAATTACGTTTATTCGGTTTTTTTTTGACTGGACATCAGCATAATTATAACTCCGTATCTCTGAGATCAATTTGAAAAATTGAAAAAAAGTCTAAAATTAAAAAAGTACAAAAGCAATCCGCTGCACTTCTAACTGTCATATAAAAAAGTGGCAAATTTTGCTACAGCGTAAAACTCTCAGAAATGCATAGTCATTTTCAATGGTGCTGAACACGATTCTCAAGTTATTTTTGTGCGATTGAACCTAGTTTTCGAGAAAATTTTTTTTCACAATTCTAACTTACAAACCTAACACATCACTCGAATCCTCGCTCATTGTAACACCTGGCGGTCTATACATGCTTTAAAACACGTAAATAAAGATCTAATAATTCTGACAAACGTACCTATTTTCAGAAATTTGAAGGAAAAATGTATTTATTTAAAATATTTATATTACCCCTTAACATAAAATCGGCCTATTGGCAGATCCCATTCTCAACGCGATTTCGTATTTTCGAATTCCCCCTTTAGTTTGCCAGTTAACATTTGAAATATGGTTACTAAGTACCGCAAATTTATTTATACAGGCAGCATATCGATTAAAAGCGATGTATTTGATAAAGATGTTTATGTTTTTAACTGTTCGTTACATTTATTTACATTTTTTTATTTCATATCATGGGACTCGCATGAACGGGTAAACAAAGTTGATTTTCAGTACTTAGTAACCTATTTTAGGCAGTCAGACAAAGATGACAGACGGTATAGAGAGGAGCAGAAAAATTTACTGGACGACGATCAGAGATGGAAATGTCTGGATATTTTTCTTAAAAAAAATAGTAACTTTATTTCAGACGCGTGTTCATCACCTCAAACATAGGGAAGTAGGCAAAATTTCGCGAGAGTTTGAAAATTTTATGCCGTAGTAAATAATTACCAAAAAAGTAAGTAAGTAGATATAAATATTGTAAAATCCCAATTAAGTACGATTACACAAAAATATATAACAAGCGTGATAAATTGTGTTAGTTTCCTTTGGCACTGTTTCAAGACACAAAAGTATATAAAATCCGTAGGATAAAAAAGGAAGAAAGTCCTCATTTGTACCTCGCACCGACCACTAAACTAAAACGATAAAATAACGAATGGAAAGTAACACAATTAACACAACTCGAAATCATTTAAACAAATACAACAATATAGAGCACAACAATCACTTATTGCAAGTTAAATCACATTTCATTAAAATTGTTCATCGTAATGTTTTCGTCACTTCTGGCTAAAATGGCATTCGTAAGTCACTTAAAATGGCATAGTAAAAGTTCACACACATTCGCGTACAGACAATAATCAAACTGTTAATACTAAATGTGAAGGATGTTCGTGTTGCCAGCGTTACTGGGTACGATCGAATTTGGAAAATTCTAAAAGCGGGACAGCGTGGTGTCAATTCTCAGTACATTTTCTATGAACATTCATGGAACGTTCAAAATAAGATGCACGGGACATTTTAAAAATATTCTATAAAAATATATTCTATAATATTCATAGAATACTTGAATCTCTAGTATATGAATTTTCCATGAACACTAAAGAATAAAAATAATATTCATGGAATATCGGATATGATGACACGCATAATTAAAAAAAAAAATACGGACAACTGAACAACACTACATTAAAACTGTGATCTTTCAGGTACTTAAGAAGATAATTTCCAAAACAAGCTGAGAAAAACCATACAATTCTCTCATTCGGGGGACGATGTTGCTTAAAATTTATTGTTACGAATTTAAAGCTTACACGATTATTTCACGAATTACCCTCCTTGTTCGCGAATTGGGGGTGGAGTATCCACTCTCTAAGCTCTCTTCGTAACTCAAGGACATGTGCTGCGGTGGTTTCTCGTCTTCCATTTGCTCCAAATAGGGATCTGGTAGGCCGCTGACGTCATGGTATGGGGAATCTGAAATGAAATATAAAGAAAATTGACTCGTAATGCTGAGTTGAGGCGTGTCAGTGCGTGTCATAAGCGTATAAGTAGTAAAGACCTCCCTTACTTCTTCATAAATAAAAGTTTGAACGATCAAATACATACTCTTAGTATAATTAAAACGAAAACAATTTTTGGAACCCTCTAAAGTGATACGCCTATGGAACGGCATTCACCGCACGCCTTACCACTTGCATGGATATACATGATGAGAATTGAAGGGAAAAAACCATTAAAGATGTAAATTTTGTAAATTTCATAAATCAGGAACAGTGAAGACTGGAGCGCACACAACATAAAGTGTCAGTGTTGAACAAGCCTCTTTAATCCACAATAACTATATTGTACTCACCAATATGTTGCTCGATGCGTTTCTTAGGTTTATGAACAGCCGCGTAGGGGTCGCTACAGTAGTCTTGTCTGGACGGATTGTTACTGTTCCTCATATAATCGTCGCCGTGATTACTTTGAGTCGTGATGTGCGGGTACGGAGCGTAATCGTCGACGGCGCCGTATCCACCGTGGGTGATCGGGTCGTAGCCGTACGAATTCTGCCTGTCCACGTTCATGTGGTGCGGCTGAAGCTGGCTGTTGGAGTTGGTGGAAGCCGCCGCCATCTTCATCTGCCACAACGAGTCCTGAGAATTGACGCTGCCTCCGTTGTTCGAGTTGGAATAGCTGTTCTCCAAGTAACCCATATTTGCCCCTGGAATAATGTCGTAGTCTTAATAACTCGGCGATAGAAGACAGGTGTATCGAAGCGAGGATACTTACAGTCCTGGTTGTTTATGTTCTGCCTGGACTGAATGTCTGGATTGGCGACGTGGTATCCGTATCCGTTTTGGGTGGCGTACACAGATTTCTGATCTTCCATAGCTAAGGCGAGGTCTAGGGAGTGTTCTAGAGCTTTATTGTCCATGCCGGTGGATGGGTAGTAGGGAGGCGGTGCTTGGTTTTGCTGAGGGACAATGGTAGGCCTAACGGAATCCATTTCGTAATCTTTAGCTTGTGACTTTTTGGATTGGTTCCTCTTGCACCGGCAGAATATCAGGAGCAATCCAACGAACAGCAGGAACACTATACAAGACACGACAATCGCTATAAGCGTTGGCGTTGTTAAAGCTGAGGCCTCCCGAAGTTGCGTGTAACCCACTAGAGCAGAAACAAGGGATTAGAATCAAGGCGTCGGGTGCAGAACGGTAAATACTTACATTCAGCTTCGACGAATTCTCCACAGTGTTCGGGGTGTGTTTGTAGGCAAAGTTTCACTCTTACTCTTGGATTGTATTCGTCATTAACGGCAATAGGTTCGTCGAATGACCTTCCCATGCCTTTGTCGCCTCTTGAACCCATTCGGTCCAAACTTTTTTCTTTGTAAGTGGGTACTAATCCAGATACTTGTAGATCTAAAGTGTCGATGACCTGCCAGACCGTAATGGGGTGATTTTCGTTGCTTACTGTTTCTACAATGGCTATTAGTGGGAGGCAAGTGACAGGGACATTGATTGATAAGGTGTGGGAAGCTCGGTCGTACGCTACTCTGTGCGGGACTGGTATTCTATCAACCCGTGTCCTTTCTCTGATTTCTTGAGAGTTTTCACTGGTTCCCTTAGTATTCAAAGCTTTTACCTGCAACAGAAAGGATTAGTAATGCAAAACTTAAACATATCCATTGTCTTACCTTGAACAAGTAGCTTTGGTGTTGTTCGAGGTTAGTCACGTTACAGGGAACATTTTGATGACAGTCCACTTCAGACCAATCACTTGACTTGGATACTATCCCACAACCTTCAATGGGTATGTCGTTATCACTGGACACTTTCCTGTAAGAAACAAAATATTTTGTGTTGGAGATTCCTCCATTAAAACCAGGCTCCCATCCTAGGGTGACAAAGTTTGGCCCGGTATGGAAAGCAACCAACTTTGTTGGTTTTTCTGGCGGTCCTTTGGGTTGCAATCTAATTCTGGCATCGATCTTTCCCAGATTATTGATAATTTGGCAGTTATATTCTCCGTAATCCTGTTTTTTAATATTGGAGATACGAAGGACGCTGGTGTAAATGTCGTTGTCGTCGCTCGCGGTGTGTACGACATAATGTCCTTCCGAGGAAGAGTGAAGCGGGGAAATGTTTGTACCGAAGAACCACTTGAATTCCGGTTTGGGATATGCCTGCACTTTGCATACCACCTCGGCGGTTTCGGATATGTCGTAGGCTACCTTGTTGTATTGGTGTAAGACTATGGGTTCATCTGCCAAAAATAAAAGAAGGAGCATAAGTTACAGATATACGCGAGACATTTTATCTTCTTATCTTTTTGAAGTTTAGGGAATTTTCTTGTTGTTTCGAAACAGTATTTAGAAATACAATTGAATGTATGCATTTCACAGATATTTCCCAAACGTCACCTGCGTTTTTTTAATATAGTAACGTGTACATTTCTAAACACTCACGATTAGTGATACGAAGTTTGATTTGATTAAAAAAAATTTCGTCAAACGAATGTAGCAAAAGATTAATGTATTGAAATTGAAACTAACATCTTTGTCATCTATCATCTGTCACTCTACTTATTTTTTTCTTTTTTTAGTCTGATTAGGTCAGGAAATATTAAAAAAAAAAATTTCGACGTTTTCGTCGTTTTTATTACGACATTTTGAAGACACCACGTGTTAGGTTTGATAATCATGAAGTCCTGAAGATGTCGACAAAATATAATAGCGTTTTAAGTTACCAACAATCAATTACTGGAATCATATATTTCCGTATAGTCAAACATAAGGCGTGCCTCAGGGTTCGACACTTGGCCCACCGTTTTTATTCATTTCATTAATGATATCGCCAATAACAGCCACACAAAAAAAGTTGTGTGTACTTTTCATGCGACATGTTCTCCGTAGTATTTTTGCCTCTTGATCATGAATCCGGTATCAGAATTGAGCTATCACATCACAGAAATTTCCTAACCTTAAAAAACAGGTCAAAAATAGAAAAAATTTATGAAAAAGTGCTAGGAAAATACAAATTCTTTTTTCTATACTCAAAATGTTGTACACGCCTATGACTAGCCGATGAAAACCCCGAACTCTAGTGATCAGCGATCCCGAGAACCCCCGTATACCAAATTTGGCGCGAATGAGTAATTTTTTGAAAATTTGGTCGGCCATCTTGGATCCGCCATCTTAAATTTTGCAAAATTGACCTCGAATCCGTGATCAGTGACCCCAAAAACCCCCGTATACTAAATTTGGCGCGAATCTTTTATTTTGAAAATTCGTGATATTTGGCCTTATTGACCCGTTTTTTTGAGGTTAGAAAAAGAACCATCAATTCTAAACGCGGGTTCACGTTGGACGGGGTCTTAACCATATAAATGAACATTTGAATATAGAAAATAATTTTTTTGTATTTTTCCTAGCACTTTTTCGTGAATTTTTGCTATTTTTGACCTGTTTTTTGAGGTTAGGAAATTCCTGTGATGTGATACCTCAATTCTGACACTGGATTTCGTTATCAGGAGGCAAAAACTTTTTTTGTGTGTGGCTGTGTGATTATGTCCTAATAATAATTTTAATCTACTTTTTGCTCTATGCTGGTGATTTGGGAATCTACTGTCAATTCTGTAAAAAACTTCAGCACAGTTGTTAATCACAATATTAATTGCATTAATTACATCGCACATTAATTTGCGTTCCTAGATTAATAATTTAGCTATTTGTAATTTCTTATATACCAATATTTTGTAAAGGTCTACATCAAATGATACTTTAATGATTTACTATTAAGGCTTTTCTGTTTAGTTGAGATTTTCTGATTGCTTTTTATTCCCTTTTCTGTTTGTTAAAATTTATATTTTTGTTACTTGTTTTTTCATTGATAACAGCCACACAAAAAAAAAGTTGGGTATACTTTTTATGCGACATATATTTTTCGTAGTAATTTGGCCTCCTGAACACGAATCTGGGGTCAGAATTGGCCCATCACGTCACAATTTTTTCCTAACCTCAAAAAACTTGTGAAAAATAGTAAAAATTGATGAAAATTTACTGGGAAAATTTGGGAAAATTTTTTTTTCCACATCAAATAGTACATTTTTATGTAAAAGACTCTGCTGAATTCAAATCAGAATTGAGCTAGAACATGTGGTTTTTTTTCTAACCTCAAAAAACCGAGCAGGAATCGCTATTTTCAAATTCTGAGCGGATTTTGACCAGATTTTGTATAAAGGGGTTTTTTGGGTCACTGATTACGAATATGAATTTACATTGTAAAAATTGAAGAGGGCTGATCCAATATGGCAGGTGTACTTTTTTGAAATCCACCGATTTCAGTAAAATTTGGCATCATAAGGATTGCTGGTTGATCTCACCTTCATTAATCACACATCTGGAGCCAGATTTTCAGGTGGAATCAAATTTGTAGGCAGAGTCATAATTTTAGGCCGAGTAGGCGGCATTTTTTCGGCAAAGTCACATTTTTAGATTGAAGGCATAAGCATATGCTGTGTGGCAGTAATGTGTCCTTTTCCTTGAACTTTAAAATTATTAAGAAATAAAAGCATCTAAATGCCATAGGAAAACTGCATAGTAGTTAAAAGAAATCTGATTAGAAAACCATAAGCCCATGCACGACTAAATAAATGAAAGAATAAAGTAGAAACTTTTCTGTCTTGTCCCATGGAAACAAGCACATCACACTACACATCATTACATGTGTAGAGTCCTTAAGTCATTTTTTTAAGCGAAGTTACATTTTTAGACAGAGTGGAATCTTTTACCTTGATTTATGAAAATCTGGCTCCAGATGTGTGATTAATGAAGGTGAGATCAACCAGCAATACTTATGATGCCAAATTTTACTGAAATCGGTGGATTTCAAAAAAGTACACCCGCCATATTGGATCAGCCATCTTGAATTTTTACAATGTGAATTCATATTCGTAATCAGCGACCCAAAAAACCCCTTTATACAAAATCTGGTCAGAATCCGCTCAGAATTTGAAAATAGCCATTCCTGCTCGGTTTTTTGAGGTTAGAAAAAAAACCACACGTTCTAGCTCAATTCTGACAGTGGATTTGAATTCAGCAGAGTCTTTTACATAAAAATGTACTTTTTAAGGTGGAAATAAATTTTTTCCCAAATTTTCCCAGTAAATTTTCAATTTTTACTATTTTTCACAAGTTTTTTGAGGTTAGGAAAAAATTGTGACGTGATGGGCCAATTCTGACCCCAGATTCGTGTTCAGGAGGCCAAATTACTACGAAAAATATATGTCGCATAAAAAGTATACCCAACTTTTTTTTTGTGTGGCTGTGTATTTAATTGTTTATATGTATTTCGTTTATGAATGTACACACATTTTTTATTCATTCACGATTATATATTTCTAACATATTCGTTTGTATTTTCTATTTTTTATTGTAATTTTATTGTTATGTACACATATTTTTGATTTGCTATGTGGTTATTCATCATATACTTGAGTTTTCTTCCCACTGTGTGAATTACCATTATAGACATAACTACCAATCTCTATATCAGTGTAATTCTAAAGAAGGATTCGATTGAAACACTTACAGAGATTTACATTAATAGTACATCCTATATACAAATTTGTTTAGCAAATTGTTTAAATATATAAACTGTTTTGTAAGTTTTCGATGTTTCTCTGGGAATTATAGCTTATATCCAAAGTGAGGCGACTACTTACGTTCGATTTTGAGGTGCATCGCGGACTCGGACTTCTTAACTTCATTTTCGAAGGCACAAGTGTACACGCCCCTATCGGACGGCAACAGCTCATTACCATTCGGCCTGGCCTTCCCACTGAATTTCAAAACGCTCTGTACGCTCGTTGCCCCATTTGCGATCTCGGTCGAGTCGGTTTTCACTTCATACATATTCGCGTCGGCCGTTAGCTCTTCGTTATCCTTCAGCCACCTCACCATCGGGCTGGGCTTGCCCTTCGCGCTGCAAGCCACGGAAAAATTCGGGTCCCCCACTCGCTTGGTTTCCAGCGGTTTCAATTTGTATTTGAAGCTCGGGGGCTGCTGGACCTCCAACTCCACCGAGGCCATCTCCCCCAGGCCCAGCTCGTTGGTCGCCTGGCAATTATAAACGCCTTCGGAGCCTAGACTGGCGCTGGCGATCGTATACTTCGTGCCGGTAGCGAGGATCGTGGTCTGCCCGTCGCTTCCTATCCTGAACCATCGATACTGCGGCGCCGGCCAGCCCGGGGGTGTGGCGGTGCAGGTCAGGGTGACCGCAGCTCCTTCAGTGGCGATCGGCTTGTCGGGCATTATCCTGGCCCTGCCCGGTTTGTGGCGGATCAGCAGGGCTATCGATGCGTTGCCTATCTTCTCCGTCCGCCTGATCGGAATGGAGCTGGGACTGATGACGTTCACGGCCCGACAGATGTACGTGCCGGAATGCTCCGCTCCGACGTGGCTGAGCTCCAATTTGTCTCCCATCTGACGGAAATCCGGCTTGCCGTCTTTCACCCACTCCACGGTCATGGGGCTAGGGTTCGCGGTGACGTTGCACTTGATAGAGACCGAGTCGCCCTCTTCCGCCTCCCTGGTCTTCGCTTCTAAATTGACGACGGGAGGGTAAAGGACGTCGAGGAACATCTCCCTCTCGCCGACTTTCCCCAAGCCGTTATCGGCGCTGCACGTGTACTTGCCCGCGTCTTGGATGCTGACTTTGTGGATGATGTGGTTGTGCGAGGAGCTGATAAACCTGCTGTTTCTCGTCCACCGGACCGTCGTCACTTTGGGCTTGGCGTCGACGGTGCATTGCAGGGTGGCCTGCGCTCCTCGTTCCACCCGCAGGGGGTTTTCCGGGCCGACTTCCACTCGAGGAAAATCTGCAATGGGATAAAAGCGTTACTGCGAATAGTGTTGAAGCCGCACGACCATTATTATAAATAGAGCTCGTGTTCGGTTTCATTTAAACGTCCAGTTCGGGAGATAATTTAAATTCTATACATAGCCGTGGGGCGCTATTAGTTTAAAAGTTAAATTGCAGTTACTGGTGTCAACGCTGCATGAGCGCAGCTGTTAAGTGAGTTAGTGATATCGAATTTTAAAGTATTTAACATAATTAAGTTCTTATGTAGCGGACCGCTCGCAATAAATTTGGATGTAAGCGAAGCATATTTTTAATAGTATTGTAGTATAACAACCCTAGGTTCGACAAAAAATAAGTAAACGTAGTTGTGGCCAAAAATATGTGATCGTCATAAGGAATTCCTACGCTGTGTGTATCTATTTTTAATTGACCGGAAGGCGCTGGCTACTAACTTTGTAGAGGGGATGTATGGTTTAATTATATAAAACAAATGCAGAGTAAATACACCTAACCTTTATTATTTATGTACAACAATCTTCAAATTAAACATGTGACAAATAGAAAGAACAACAAAAACATTAACAACCATTAAACATAAAAGGAGAGTGCCAGGCTCGCCTAGAGCTCCTGTGGGGAAAGAGCATGGCAGAGAAACCCACGATCGTTGCTCTTACCACCCAAATATAAATACAAAACAACCGCTAACCAAGGGAATAAATTAAGATCCTTTGCTAATGATAATTAAAACTGGACTTATTTAATCTCTCGCTCAAGTCTGACATACACACTTCCAAGTAAAACTGATGAGGTTTTAGTAACAATAATAGCAACAACAACAACAATAATAATAGGGAAGGTACTGGAGTCCCATAATACGGGAGGCTATCCAGCTAAAGTTGAGATTTCGGGAGAACAACAACAATAATAACAATAATAATAATCATGGGTGAAAATGTTAGTAAATTCAACAAAGCTCTTACATACGCATGACATAAATTGAGCAGAAGAAATGAAAGAACAACGTAATCAAGATAAAACAAGTTAAATGTGAAACAAAGGAGCTGTTTTGCAATATCTGGACAGACACGACAAAATATACATATTTTAACATGAAATAAATAATGAGCAATCTTTAATAATAATTGTAACAATTTTACCTTAGAGAAATATACGCCCCTGAGCGTAAGACAATGAAGGCTAAACATATACAGAATTATTATCATGAAACATCTAGGTTTTTCGAACAACGCCATCATGACAAAAACAAGCTAGATGTGCAACAAAGAAGTCGTTATTGTAATGGCTGGCAATCAGGACAATATATATATTTTTAACATGAAATAAATAATGGGCAATCTTTAAGTATAATTATAACAATTTTACCTTGGAAAAATATATGCCCTTGAGCATAAAGCAATGGAAGCTAAACTTACAAAGAATTTTTATCATGAAACATCTATAATCATCACAATCATAAGATTACATAGAACAATTAACAACAAAGTACTTAAAGAATATTACCTGCTAACTAATAACACTTTAAACAATTAACTTTTCACTACTTTGACACTGCCCGCCGATCGTCTTACTACCGAGCTCCACACTGTTCTCAATTCAACTGCCTATCTTCAACTCTTTAGGCTTCCTTCCAGAATTTCCTACCTAAGTGCTTGTTTTTTGTGCTTCCTTCTACCGACCGTTAATATTACTTTTTCATTGTTATACAACACTCATGTAACAGGTGACGTCGAAGTTGATAAGATAAGTACGGTTTTGCACAGTATGACCTGAGCTTTTAAAAATAACTACACTTTACGGTACTAACGAATTGAAATTAGTATCGTTTTTTCATACAGTATGTTCCATCTAAGACGGATTCTTCTTTAATTTTGTAACTGTAAAATTTATAAAAAAAACAATGGTTTTAATAAAAGTTGTCTGGAATCACGTGGGCCAAGTAGAGAAAATGTTTTTAGCTTTACATGGTGTTCCATTTCGCGTGGGCCCTACATAACTTTGTTGTTTTAAATTGAACACCCTGTGTATTACTGCGTTTTTGAATTCCTTGATTAATATTAGCTAGAGTTTATTAAATGTACACGGTGTTTAAAACTTACCGTTTTCGAGATAATCAGTTGTTTCTGAAAAAAAAATCACGATTTCAACTCTCTAAATGAGGCCAGATAGCGTCTAAATCGTAAGAGTTAGAAACCTGCAGTTTTCAGAGTTTGTTTTGGCATAAATTACTCTATCTTGTCATCTGTGAGAAAAACGTGTACGTTATTCAGACTCGGAAATACTGACACCTACATTTAATAATTTTACGAGTTGAAAAACTTTTTTTCTCAAATGGAATGACCCATATTAATTGTCATGGGTGAATGCAAAATTGAATGCCCTTTCGACTGATATAAGGTTGTCCATACTTATCTCTAACAGTTTTCCGGAAAAATCAGGTTCTTTTCTAAAGTCCGAAAAAGTAGCTATGTAACAGCGTTAAGAAGGCCTTGCAATTGTATTAATACAACGTCGATACATAGAATTTTACAAATTCACAGCACAGCACATCATCATCGCATCCAATTACACTAATGCCCGTATACATAGTCGATCGCCAGCTCAGTCAAGCATGCGCATTAGTGAAACTTATGGCGAAGCGCCGGAGAATCGCCGGAGATTGCCAGTAGCATCTCCAGTGTTTCTCCAGAAAGCAAGTAACCTATTTTTATTGTAACCTATTTTTATTGTGTTTTTGAGATTGTTCCAATAATGGATCGTGATTTTAACATGTTGTATAACGCCAAACAAAGATATTTCTGATTTAGATATTACTAAAGAGTTACTAAAAGTAGACTTTCAGCGAAGACCGGAATTTTGTCAGCGGGCACTTGAGATGTTAAATCAAAATGATGATTTTTTTAAACAGGTCATGTTCTCCGATAAGGCTACTTTTCATAAAAAAGGTTTCATTAATAGTCATAATTGCCATTATAATGACACAGTAAATCCTCACCAATTCCGGACAACTCATACCAACGATGGCCTTTGAACGTGTGGGGAGCAATTTTGGGGACCCATGTCATTGGATCATTCTTTTTTGACCAGCATCTAACTGGAGTAGTATACTTAAACTTTTTAACAAACAGTCTAGAAGATTTGTTAGGCGACATCCATTTAGCAACACTTCGAAGAATGTGGATGCAACATGATGGTGCTCCACCTCACAATACCGCTTCGGTTCGTCATTTTATACACGAAACTTTTCCCAACAGATGGATTGGGCACGGGGGACCAGTGAGTTGGCCTTCAAGGTGTCCAGATATGACAAGTTGCGACTTCTTTTTATGGGGATTTATAAAAAGCAAAGTTTACACGTTATTAAAAATAACAAAGTTATGTAGCGCCCGCGCGGAATAAAACACCTTGTAAATCTAAAAATATATTTTTTACATGATCCACATGATTCCAGGCAACTTTTATTAAAACCATTTTCTTATAAATTTTACAGTTACACTGTTACAGAAGAATCCCTCTATAAATGGGCGATTCAAACGTGTACCAAAGTACAACAGCTTTTTTAAAAAGTTACCACTGACGCACAGCGTTCAAATAAATCAGAATTCCATTTATACCCATCCCACGGGATTGCCATTATCATTTGCTTTAGGTCTTCGGTATTACCCAAGCCGGGTTCCGCTGCATTTGGTCGGAAATACTAGATTATATTTACTTACCTAGCTCTAGCTATAACAAATGGATCGATGTGGCTGAATAATTAAAGCAGGCTTATTAGGCAAAGTGGCGAGGACGGGAATGTATAATGATACCTTCATTGTTTATTTGGAAATCGAAGAAACGATCCTTAATTAAATACTACGAGCCCTGTATTGATGAAAATATAAAATTCAGTTTTCCCGGCCATGGCTATCTATTTACAAAAGATATATTTTATATGAGTTTTCTGTTTCATATTTCGAAATCATCATATTAATTGTTCTGGCATTTGTGTAATATAATTTTTAACGAAATAATAATCCTATATTTCCTTATAGTCCACACTCCTCAGTTCCTTATGTTAGTATGGTTGCCTATTTCGGATTAGAGCAATGCGAAGGAAACTTTGGGATTTGTAACGGCAATTGGAAATGTATTCTTGTTAAAAATAATGGCAGAGAATTTATATAATTTAGGTTATTCAACGTCACAGTAACAAATATTTTGTAATATGCGGTTTTCATTAAAACATTAAATATTTTAAACTCTATTCGTTGAATCTAGGCAAGCACAAATACACATGAACGTACTTCCAAAGAGGCAGTTTTGCGTAAAATTTAAATTTTTTACTTTGTGTAATTACTTCAGGTGTAAGGTAAGTAGTAAGTGAAAATAAAACGCACCAATTGTTATCAGAGTGAATACCAAGTTATGATATAGAAAAATATTGTTACATTTTTAAAATTAAAGTTTCTGAGTAAAAATAAAAATCATTTAATTAAACACTTTTAACAATGAAAACATAGAAATTTTTGTAAATAAATAGTATATAGGTAGTTCAAAACGAAAAATATAAAATAAATATAGTTGAAAGTTGCAAATATTTAGAAAATCTCTAAATAAAATGCAATATAGGTAACTTGTATTAATCTTGATGATATATCAATTAAATCATCATCACTACTGTGAGTGCAAACATTAGCAAACAATGCTTCTACTATTATTTCCATAATGTCATCCAATTCCCAAAAAAATTTTTCAACTTTGTTTATGGTGTGGTCAACACATTCTCTGCATGCCTCAAAAAATATTTTTCTTATATCCGAAAACTTCAATGTTACATTTTTTGATGCAACACACCCTTTTACTTGTGTTCATATCAATTCAATAGGATTAAGTACGCAATGATATGGGGGAAGCCTGAGTACTGTTATATTTTTCTCCTTTGCCATCTCATCTATGACACAGACGTTATACCGGGTGATTCAGTTTGATATTCGCGGCCTCGTATCTCTTTTATTT